ATCCGTGGAAAACCACGGGGCTGTCCGGGCTCCATGCAATCGGAGAGGGCGCTTCGGAGCCAAACAGTCAATAGCCCTGGTTAACTCCACATTCCAGCGGGCCACCAGGGAATCAGCTGAAAGGCCATCAACATGGGATAAAGCATCCCCTACCACTCTCTGGAAACCATTTGGATCCATTAAGTGGCGGGGCGGACCATCCGAATCGGTCCCACCTCCCTGCAGAGGGGATGGGTCGCAGAGAAGTCCAGTTGCACCAGGAAGTGATCTGACCATGGCACTTCTTTCGTTTCGCTTTTACTTAGTGTCAGATCACCAACATCCATAGAGGTAAACACCAGGTCCAAGGCATGTCCGCGGCTATGGGTTGGGCCAGACTTATTCAGGGACAGCCCCATGGAGGCCATGCTTTCCACGAAGTCCCGAGCGGCCCCTTGTAAGGTCGTGTCGGCATGGATGTTAAAATCCCTAGGACAACCAAACTAGGTGTCTCCAGGAGAACATCCGCCACGACCTGAAGCAGCTCGGGCAGGGAATCCTTGGTGCAGCGGGGAGGTCGGTACACCAAAAGGAATCCTGTACTGCCCCTATTGCCCAACTTCCAGAACATGCACTTGGAAAACTGGGTCTTTCCAATAGGACGCCTGGTGCAAACTAATGACTTCCTAAAAATCACTGCCACCCCCCCCTCCCCGCCCACATGACCTGGGTTGCTGTGCGTAAGAGAAACCTGGTGGACAAGCAGCGGCAAGGACAGGCCCATCTGCTTCATCCAACCAAGTCTCTGTTACACATGCCAGGTCAAGTCCTCCATCCATGATCAAGTCATGGATGGCAGTGGTCTTATGAATCATTGACCTGGCATTGCACAGCAACACCTTCAGGTCATGTGGGTATCCCTTGCTGATTCTAGTAGCCATCCGGTCAGGACCAGACCCGGAGGCAGGAATAGTCCTCAGACAACGACTAAACCTGCCCCCTCTGTAATGACATGGTCTAGTCTTAGCGTAACTCCTCCTCCTACCCGTGATCACTGAGATCGGTTGTCCCAGTGCATCCCCTCCTGTGGAACAAGCCCCAGCCATTTTGTGGGCTGGGGCCCACTCCCCAGCAGCCCTGACCCCTCCCCTTAAGAACAAAATAACACCTTAAACAAACAAACAAACAAACAAAACCAATAAAACAATACAAACAAAAAACTGTAAAAATTACAAAATCAACAAAGTAAAAGAAATTCCCCAAGCCCAACCAAACATCCACCCCACCCCGAACATACAAAAAATTCAAAAGAACTTTTTAAAAACATTTTAAAAACACTCTGTGCCCCTCCAGCAGTAACAGCAACTGTCCTAGTGAGGCCTGTCAGGCCCCAGGCCAGGTGGTAAGTGGCAAGAGCAGGGCCCTCAGGCACTCACACAGGGGAGTCCTCCTGGGCAGCAGGCAGCAAGCAGCAAGCAGTCCTTGTGAGGCTTCAGGCCCCGCCCCAGGCCAGATGGTAAGTGGCAAGAGCAAGAGTTATCTTGTGTTATGTTATGTTATGTTATGTTATGTTATGTTATGTTATGTTATGTTATGTTTGTTATGCTTTTGTAGCATAGTCACCCCTTCATGGATCACTGCCTTGCTGTGGCGAAGGGGCTTGAATAATTCAGAGAAGCTATGAGCTATGCAGTGCAGGGCCACCCAAGATGGACAGGTCATAGTGGAGAGTTTTGACCAAACGTGATCCACCTGGAGCAGGAACTGGCAAGCCAAAACTCCAGTATCCCTAAAAAAGCAGAGACATCACCTTGCCAAAAAAGGTCTGTATAGTTAAAGCCATGGTTTTCCCAGTAGTGATGTATGGAAGTGAGAGCTGGACCGTAAAGAAGGCTGATCGCCGAAGAATTGATGCTTTTGAATTGTGGTGCTGGAGGAGACTCTTGAGAGTCCAGTGGACTGCAAGAAGATCAAACCTATCCATTCTGAAGGATATCAGCCCTGAGTGCTCACTGGAAGGACAGATCCTGAAGCTGAGGCTCCAATACTTTGGCCACCTCATGAGAAGAGAAGACTCCCTGGAAAAGACCTTGATGTTGGGAAAGATGGAGGGCACAAGGAGAAGGGGACAACAGAGGACGAGATGGTTGGACAGTGTTCTCGAAGCTACCAGCATGAGTTTGACCAAACTGTGGGAGGCAGTGGAAGACAGGAGTGCCTGGCGTGCTCTGGTCCTTGAGGTCACGAAGAGTCGGACACGACTAAACAACAACAAGCACAGTCAGTGGAATATTTCACATACAGACCCAGCTTCAAATCCATACCCAGGATGGATCTGAGCTTATCGAATCAACCTGAACCACCATTACCTCTCAGCTAAGCCTACCTCACAGAGCTGTTGTTAGGGGCAAGGAGGGTGAAAATTACGCATGCCACTCTGTCACCCTTAGAAGATGACGAATCCAGAACAGCCCGAAACCACAGTTTCTGTGCATCATCTCCATGCACCTGAGTTAAGGGGTGTGTGTGTGAAATGCAATGTGTGTATTGAGAGATGAGAGGTATATTAGCGAGATAGGGAACCATGCTCAGGACAGGTATGCTATAGAGAAGACAACCTGCCCAAGCAGTTTAGCGGCCCTGTTTTGCATTTTCTATGCAGCCATATATATATACTGTGTGTTTTGACTGTCAGCCGCAGAACGTGCGCACACAAGCCGATCAGCAGCAGCCATGCACACTGCGTTTTTGTTATAAACGTAGCCTCAGGTAAGGCGGAATCCATGCCAAGCATACATTAGCCCAGCGAAATGAGATTCTCTGCAGGCGGGTCTGGGCTTCCTTGTGGGCAGAGCCGCTCTTTGGCAGGGCTCGCCTCCCTCCTCCTTCGCAAGCGAGGCCGAAGACGCTCCGTGATCCTATCTGAACAGAGAGTGAACTTACGCAGCAAGCCCCAGCTTGTGCCCCTGTGTGGATACAGCGTTGGTGGCGGATGCCAGAGCAGCCTTAAAACAAGCCCTCTCTGCCTCAAAAAAAAAAATCTCCCTGCCCCCAGTCCTATCTGAATGGACACAACAGGCTATCGTGCGAGAAATAAGAAGCCCAAATGCTAAAGTGTGGGATAAGGAGGTGCCTAAATTTTGTACACTCATTCATCCATTGCAAGCTCCCCGGCTCTCCTAGTGTCTCTATTTTCCAGGGACAGTCCCAGATTTACAGAAGCCATCCCGGTTTCTGATTTGATCCCACAATTTTGATCCCACTTTTCCTTAGGATGTCCCTATTTTCAATGAAGAAATGATGGAGGGGATGGAGTTAGGTGACCCCTGAGCCAAGGAGATAAGTAACTATGCAACCTTTGGAAGACATCTGAAGGCAACCCTGTATATGGAAGTTTATTTTATTTTTTAATGTTTAACATATTATTATGTTTTTATACATGTTGGAAGCCTCCCAGAGTGGCTGGGGCAACCCAGTCAAATGGGTGCAGTATAAATAATAAAATTATTATTATTGAACAGGACGTCTCTATTTTCATCGGGGAAATGTAGGAGGGTACGAGCTCCAGTTAATGTGAGTTTCATTCACCCCTAGAAAGCTAGTATATAGCATAGCAGCTGTGGAAATAATTAGGCACTGCAAGGAAGCAGAGGTTACGAACCACATGTTTTTCTTGCTCAGCAAATGTAGCAGTTTGGGCGCACAGTTTTCAGTCGAGAACCAGAAGATGGATGTGGGGCATTTAATGTGTGGAGGCTGGGTCAGAGACCGCAAAGGAATTACGGTATCTCAGTCTGCATCTTGCTATGTGCTGAATGTCCATCGGGGGTGTCAGGCCGGGGGAGCCGAACAGAAGTTCACGGGCAAGGTTTGCAATTGTGGTGAGCGCTTTGAAGATGTCAAGGAAAAGCGACCCAATCTGGAGTCTCAGTTACACTCCCCTTTAGCTCTGCAGTTGAATTTAACGGGAGACTGCTAAATCTCAGCAAAGGTTCTAAAAAGGTTGGGCAAACTGTGATGTTATTAGAGAAACCAGCTAAGGCACATCAAGAGGCTGAACACATTTTAAAATTAGCCGAGAGGGCCAGATGGCATGCACCCTGAGGGGTTTAAGGGAATTAGCTACAGAAGTCTTAGCCATTATCTATGATATTCATTTGTTCCTGGACGCCAAGAGGAATCCCCACAGCCTGATAAAAAGTGCGGGCAGGGGGGGGAGTGAGTACAGGCTTTTTTTCCCCCTCCCAAGGGGATATTGCAATACCAATTAGGGGCATGTTCATCTGGGACTGGTGCATCTGAGAAATTATTGGGTGGACATTTGGCGGGGGGGGGGGGGTTTTGAGGAAAACTGCCCACTCATAATTATATACCTAAAAAGCTGAAGGGCACTTTTAAAATAAAATATATGGATCTATATGCATCATTAAAAACAGTTAAAAGAGGCATATTGTCCAGATTACAGGAAAAAACCACTCTGTTTTGCTCTGGGCCAATGAAGATACATCCACTGTGCAGCCACTAAGGCTGGATCTACATTGATCTTAAAAACACTATAAAAACCCCCGCTATAAATATATATATAGCTCTCAATGCAATTTTCCATGGATCACTGCTCTACAGCACCCTCTGGTGTCACATTTTTATAACACAGTTTTAATGTTATACTGTAATTGACCAGGGCAGCCGAGTCCCAATTCTGGGTGCCATGTTTTAAGGAGGACATTGACAAACTGCAGTGTGACCAGGATGGTGGAATATCTGGAAACGGCAAGTCTTGTGCAGAACAGTTGAAAGAACTGTGTGTGCTGAGCCTGGAGAAGAGGAGACTAGGGTGGGGAGTTGGAGATGAGGCATGATAACTATCTTCAAATCTCTAAAGAGCTGTCAGACAGAGTGTGAGATGCACCCTGCTAGATCCGGTCAATGGGCCTGCTAGTTAGTCATAGAATCACAGAACCGTAGGGTTGGAAGGGACCCAAGGGTCATCTAGACCAACCCCCTGCAATGAAGGAATCCTTTGCCCAACATGGGGCTCAAACCCATGATCTTGAGATTAAGAGTCTCATGTTCTACCAGTAGCCCATCAGATACCTGTGGGAAACCCGCGAGCAGGACCCAACACAAGAGAACGCTCCCCACCTGAAATTCCCCAAAACCAGTATTCGGAAGCATTGCTGCCCTGTGGCCGTGGAGGTAGAGCACAGCTATGGTGGCTGGGAGATGGGGGAAACCTATTCTCTTTTGCTCCAAAGGGCAAAGGTAAACGGCGTTTCCGTGCACTGCGCTGTTTCGCCAGAAGTGGCATAGTCATGCTAGCCACATGACCCTGAAGCTGTACGCCGGCTCCCTCGGCCAATAAAGTGAGCGCCGCAACCCCAGAGTCGGTCACAACTGGACCTAATGGTCAGGGTCCCTTTACCATTAGGAGGCCATCTGTCACAGATGCTGCAGTTGCATTCTGAATTGTGGTTCCTGGTTTGAACAGGGGGTTGGGCTAAATGACCTCCTGGTGTGCCTTCCAACTCTATTCTTCTACGGTTCCTAGCTTGGTCTACCTAGTCTCCACGCGTAGCAAAATCAACTGGAAGAAAACTGAAATGGCAGAATGGACTTCACTAAACAATGCTCTGTTGTTTCCTTTTTATTTTTTTTAATGCTCCTGTACTTGACCGTTCTCTTGGTTGTAAGTGCAGTAGTGGGGATCATCCAGTTGGTAAATTAAGGGTTAATTCTGTTAATGTCAGCTAGCCAAGAGAGAGGCAGGTGGAGATATTGCCTAGCAACCAAGCAGAGTGGCATGATAGTCACAGAGGTATGACATGCCCTGATTGGCTGTGTAGTTCTGAGGGGGTTTTCCAACTGTATGTTTGGTTGAATGTCTTTCTGCTATCTATAAGGCCTGACCTACGAAAGACAAGACCTCTCTGTTCCTTTCTCCTCAAATTATACACTGTTTATGTTCAGTTTACTCAGTAAGGTGTTACCAGGTTTCTTTTCTCTCTGGGCTCCGTCTGTGTTATTCAACTGGCTTTGTTAACACCCCTCAACTAGAAAACTAGCAGATCAGGAAAGTGTTATCAGCACCAATAACAGCTTCTCTCTCCCAGGCCAAAAACCACTGGGGGTGGGTATTAATTGGGCAAAAGGATTAAACCCTCCACTCCAAATGCCACAGACCTAATCCTAGTCAGCCCCCACCTCTTGTGCAACTGCTATTAAACACACACACACAGAGAGAAGTGTGATCACATAACATTTAATATGGCTCTCAACCACTCGGATGAAGTATATAAAATATCCTGTTTGAAAAATGACTCCAAAAATACAGCTGGGGTTGTGTTGCAGAGAGGAAATTTACATAAACACCATTTTGCTTGGTCACACCGTATTTATCCGGTGTGAGTCCTCCTTGGAGGCTATTTTCGGCAAACCGGTTACCATACTCTCGTTACCATGGAATCTCTGGCAGAGGAGCCATGAATGGTTGCTAACCGGTTGCCAGTGTCTTGAGGAAGCCATGTGCTCTGGGATTCTGCCGGGGCCACCAGGCACTTCCGAATTCAGGCTGCTGAGCGGAGAGGAGTGAATCCCAAATATTTTGATGGCTGCTGCCTACGAAGGCATTGAAATCGGAAAGCCACCAGCCCACAGACATCCATGACTACGACGAAGCATCTTGACTCGAGTCCAACTGGCAGCCCACGGAGCAAAATACCGGTGGCTGATTTCACACACCCTCCCTCTCCACTTCCATGTCTAAAAGCATCCTCTGTGCTGTGATGAATACCCACTGGTGACTCCTCCACTAGAGAAGTAATTGGAACATTTGCAGGGATCTTTCTTTCTTTCTTTCTTTCTTTCTTTCTTTCTTTCTTTCTTTCTTTCTGGAGACAGGGAACTAAAAACCCCAAACCAGATCATTTTTAAAAAATTGCCAGAATGTTAAAAAGCTTGGAAATCCTTGGGGAATAAACCCAGCTGCAGGAATACCAAGCAATCTCTCCGGGCCAAGCAGTTATTCCTCGCCATGACTCCAGATGCATGGCTTGCAAGCCAGTATCTTGATTTGGAGAACGTGTTGATTATTCTAGTAGTAAAAAATGCAGGCATGGTTGCCATTGGTGGATGTTTATTGAAATGTATGACTGGACCTAGGGACGCGGGTGGCGCTGTGGGTTAAACCACAGAGGTTAGGACTTGCCGATCAGAAGGTCGGCGGTTTGAATCCCCGAGATGGGGTGAGCTCTCGTTGCTCGGTCCCTGCTCCTGCCAACCTAGCAGTTTGAAAGCACGGCAAAGTGCAAGTAGATAAATAGGTACCGCTCCAGCGGGAAGGTAAATGGCGTTTCCGTGCGCTGCTCTGGTTCGCCAGAAGCGGCTTAGTCATGCTGGCCACATGACCCGGAAGCTGTACCCCGGCTCCCTCGGCCAATAAAGCGAGATGAGCGTTGCAACCCCAGAGTCGGCCACGACTGGACCTAATAGTCAGGGGTCCCTTTACCTTTACGACTAGACCTGCTCGAGCTCACCAAAGGCCCATCAGACCAAAGCTACCCAGAGTTCCTGGGGCAACCCTGTCAGATGGGTGGGGTACATATAATAAAATTATTATTATTATTATTATTATTATTATTATTATTATTTCCCAACATCCTGCTTTCAAAGCAGCCAACCTGACTCCCAGGAAAACTGCAAGCAAGACCTGGGGCCAATAACACTCTCTGCACTGGAGATCCCCAGCATTCAGAAGCATACTGCCTATAACATTTGAAACTTCAACTATTTAAGAAAATAGTGTTTTTATTTAAAAGGGGCAACACAAAATCTTTATAGTTTTAGGATACTGCAGGTCCATGTCCTGCTTCTGTACCTCTTGAAATTGAGTGTCAATATTATTATTATTATTATTATTATTATTATTATTATTATTAATTCTTTGTACCCTGACTATCTGACTGGGTTGCCCCAGCCACTCTGGGCTTTCAGACTGTACCCTGCACATATTGCTGTTTCCTTGTCCGTTTTTTAAAATCTCAATAAATAAAGGAGCATTCAAAGAAAAGAAAATATAGTTTTCATCAACCGGAAGAGGGGTGTCCCTGCGCCAAATCCATCCCACTGGGTGCCGCCATCTTGGACCTCAATCGCTAAGCTAGAGACCAAATAAATACTGGCAAAGACGTATCAGTGGGAACAAGACTTGCTAGCTGGCCTCGAGGCGGTTGGATAAGGGGGGAGAGGTTGAAGTATGAGAGATTGACCATCCCTTCCCTCGTTCCCTTTACGAAGCGACCCTTCAGGAAAAGGACCCGGATGGTGATGATGCTGATGATAAAGATAAAAGGGGATGCAGACTTAGCAAAGCCAAACAGAATATACATATTTATTTATTTATTTATTTATTTAGCCATATGTTTGGACAGCGCCTTGTTAAGCAACGCAGAGAAGCAAAACGGCCATGCTGCAGTGCAACCTGAATAAACAAGAGATAAGAAGACTTCAGGCTATTGCTCTGCAGCAAAGGAAAAGATGAAAGGGATTGAAACAAGATGCAACGTGGAAAAATGCACAGTGGGAGACCGATTATTATGATGACAATGCACACTTTGCCGTGCAGTAGAGGAAATGTTCCACCGTACATCAAGCTTTTGACAGCCCGGTGCCCTCCAGATGTTTGGGACTCTAACTCCCACAAGCCCCAGCCCCGATCTGGGTCCCCCTATCCATGGGATGTGGGTGGCACTGTGGGTTAAACCACAGAGCCTAGAACTTGCCGATCGGAAGGTTGGTGGTTCAAATCCCTGCGACGGGGTGAGCTCCCGTTGCTCGGTCCCTGCTCCTGCCAACCTAGCAGTTCGAAAGCACATCAAAGTGCAAGTAGATAAATAGGTACCGCTCCGGCGGGAAGGTAAACGGCGTCTCCGTACGCTGCTCTGGTTCGCCAGAAGCGGCTTAGTCATGCTGGCCACATGACCCAGAAGCTGTACGCCGGCTCCTTCAGCCAATAAAGCGAGATGAGTGCCGCAACCCCAGAGTCGTCTGCGACTGGACCTAATGGTCAGGGATCCCAGGGCAAGTAAGGAGGTGCCTGGATTTGGGATGGAGACACAAGGCTCTGGCAGGGTCCTAGAGCCCTTCCACCACATCCCCAAAGCTGGGAATGCTTTGAGGAGGAAGGAGAACTCTAGGATCCCAGCAGAGCCTCACGCGGCCTTGCTTACTGGGCTTTGAGATGGCTCCATTTTGGATCAGCATCCAGTGCATGCACCATTCACACAGCCCTAGAACCACCGCTGCCTTATTTCATCTAGGACCTTGGGGAAGCAACTGAGCAGAAGTGGCCTGATAGTCACAGAGGTATGACATGCCCTGAATGGCTGTTCTGAGGGAGTTTTCCAACTGTATGTTTGGCTGAATGTCTTTCTGCCGTCTATAAGGCCTGACCTAAGAAAGACAAGACCTCTCTGTTCCTTTATCCTCAAATGATACACTATTTTTGTTCCATTTACTCAGTGAGATGTTAGCGGGTTTCTTTTTCTCTCTGGGCTCCGTCTGTGTTATTCAACTGGCTTTGTGAACACCCCTCAACTAGAAAACTAGCAGATCATGAAAGTGCTATCAGCACCAATAACAGCTTCACCCTAGATCCACCCCTGCCTTATTTTATCTAGGACCTTGGAAAAGGCAGCAGCAACAGATCTGAGCCAAACCTCAAGTCCAGCAGCTTAATAAGCAGCTAGCAGTTCAAGGCCTCCCCACCACTGGGACTTCCCAGTCTTGCATTTAAAAAAAAAAATAACGTTGATCGGTTTAGAGCAGATTTAATAGCACCTGGAAGCTGGAACTACCCAAGAGATATTATTCCATTCCAGACATATGTATTAATTCTGTTAGTGTTAAAGTCAACTAGCCAAAAGGCAGGAATGGGTGGAGGTGTTGCTTAGCAACCAGGCACAATGGCATGAATTTTCCTGAGGTAGAACACACTCTGATTGGCCGCATAGTACTGAGGGAGTGTTCCCTCTGTATGTTTGGTGGAATGTCTTCCTGCTAGGAACAAGGCCTGCGGTAAGGAAGACAAAACC